CTCCTGCTCCTCACACAGCTGAGCTTCATCAGAAACACGACTGGAGGGGCCAGGCTCTTCATCAAGCCGTGAGTCTTGTAATTCATCAGAGCCTCCCTCTGACCCTGATGGCCCCTCAACAGCCTCCTCCACCTCCTCCTCAGATTCCTCAGACTCAGCTGTTGGGAACACAGGCTGGCACGGAATCACAACACTACCCCAAAAATAAGCCCTAGCTTGATTTTGGGGGGGTGGGCCTAATATAAACCCTACCCTAAAAATAAGCCCCAGTTTGGGGGCGAGGCACACACCTAAAAATTAAGCTAGGGTGCCCCGCACCCACTTACCCTGCAGCCAGGCCTCTCCTCACTGGCCCACTTCTTCTGCGGCGTCTTCTGCAGCCAGGCCTGCATTTCTCAGTCACAGGCCTTTCTGGAAGGCCACTGCAGCCGAGAACCGAGCTATGGCTGCAGTGGCCTTCTGGAAAGGCCTGACTGCAAAATGCAGGCTGGAGCTCCATTCTGACCTGCAGAGTGAAGCTGCTCCTTCGGCCGCAGAAGAAGTGGGCCGGCTGAGCGGAGCTGTTGGTGTCGGAGGTGAGTATAAAAGACCCACCCAGAAAATAAGACCTGGTGCCTCTTTTGGAGGCAAAAAAAAAATAAATAAGAACTGGTCTTATTTTCGGGGAAACACAGTAGTTACTGAGGTATTTTTGATGTATGGAAGATTTAGGGGATAGGTTGATTGGTTGAATAAATGCTTTTTGGTGAAGTTGCATAGGTATCTATTGCACTAGAATATGCTATATAGTCTATTTCGGCGAGGGGGGTGTTCTAGTTATTGCAGTGTCCTTTTGCTTGTCTGAAGTGGGTTATTATACAACTTCTTTTGTGTGTTGTGGGTTGTTGCTGTGATATTTAGTACAAGTAGTCCTCGACTTACAACCATTCATTTAACAACAGTTCAAAGTTACGATGGCCTCAGAAAAAGTGACTTATGACCCATCCCCAAAGTTACAACCATTGCATCACCCCCAGGGTCACATGACCACAATTCGGGCACTTGGCAAGCAGCTTGCATTTATGACAGTTGCAGCATCTTGCAGTCATGTAATTGTGATTTGCAACCTTCCCAGCTGGCTTCGAACAAAGTCAATTGGTGAAGTTAGATTTGCTTAATGACCACAGTAAAAATGGTTGCAAAAATTGGGTCCACTCATGTGATGACTTGCTGAATGACTGCATGACGTAGTGACCAAAATTCCATTCTCAGTTGTGGTTGTAAATCAAGGTCCAACTTCACTGGACTGGTGTGGGTTGCTTTTTGATACATTTGGGTTTGTAGTTTGCCATTGTTTTCTTTGCTAATGAGATGTATATACTGAGTTACAAAAGCTAGGACTTTTTTTGCAGCCTTTTACCTTCTGTAAGTAATGACTTGGTCTTTTCCCCCCTTCTCACCTTATAGCACATTCATAATAGAAAAGCAGCCTCCACAGGTGCTAAAGACTCAGATCAAGTTTGCCGCAACAGTGCGACTATTGGTTGGAGGAAAGTTAAATGTTCACATGAACCCCCCACAAGTAAAGGCCACCATCATCAGTGAACAGCAAGCCAAAGCCCTACTAAAGAATGAGAGTACCCGCAAGTATGTATGTTTCTTACATGCTAAAGGAAGGGAGGACAGAATCCATTTCTCCTGAACCAGCTTTCCTACTACTTAGTACCTTCTAGATGTGTGAGTTTTCAACCGTGACACATCTGAAGGGTGCTGTGTTAAGAAAGGCTGTCAAAATGTGTGAAGGGTAGAAATTAATAAATAGAAATATGCCATTAATCCTCTTAAATAAGAACATAGTCATCATAATTGGCAAGCTATCTGTATAATTGGATATTTTCACTGTTTATCCAAGATATTAAAGTATTAAGTGCAAGAAAGTTTTCTGTCAGTGTCTGAATTTCAGCCTAACGTTCAGGACCTGGAACTTTAAGCCTTCTTATTTGACTGCTCCTTTGCTATCTCACAACCTGGATGACTAAGCCAACCTTCATTACCTATATCATTATTGCAGTTTGTCCATGTTTGGTTGGAGAAAACTTTCTCTTAAAAAGGTAGAAATTTGGTGAACCTTGTATGACGTGTTATTACCATTAAGCTTACCTAAAAGATTAACAAGAGGGCAACAAAGCAAAAAGTGACAGCCTGGTTTTAGGTAATTCAGTGTATATTATGTGTTCATTTGCTTGTAGTAGATATCTCATAATTTTGGAAAGCAGCTTTTATTAAGCCATGATAAACAATCTAGAGTCTCCACCAGGTGGAGCCATATCATCAATATCCCCATAGTGCAAAATTAACACTATCAATGGTGCGCTGGCTTGCATTCAACTACAGTAGCTGCCATTGCTTTCTTTTGGCAGTGAGAGCAGCGGTGATATCTTGAACAATTCCTGTGTTATGGAATATCATCAGGCAACTGGAACACTGAGTGCTCATTTCCGCAACATGGTGAGAGAGATGTCTTCATTGATACCATAAAGTATTTGCTAATAACTTGTTTATATAAATATAAGTATTTACAGGTAGTCCTCAAACCCATCCGTTTAGTTCCAAATTTTTATTAGTTTATAAAAATATGAAATATAAAGAAAAATGAAGTTAGTGAGAAAGAAGGGGAGGAAAAGGGGAAGAGAAAAAAGTGTAGGGGAAAAGGTGAAAAAGAAAGAAAAGCATTGACTTCCAACTCTTTTTAGCGCAGTAGAGTAAGGTAATAACATATAGCCTCAACTTTTTACTTTTACATAATAGTATATACTAGTCATTTTTATAGCAACAAACCAATCTAATCAGCAAAACCCAAAGTCAAAGATTCATTTTTTTTATACCTCAAGCACAAAATCCAGAACCGGGTTCCAAATGGAAATAAAGTTAGCTGCATTCTTTTCTTTGATTAGGGCAGTCAATTTAGCCATCTCTGCTAATTCCATCAGTTTTTCCAACCAGTCATCCATTGTGGGAATTGAAGTACCGGTATCTTTCCATTTTTGTGCATAGAGCATTCTTGCTGCTGTCAGCATATATAACAACAAAGTTCTATTTTTTTCAAGTTCTTTGTCCATTAAACCTAAAAGAAAAGTATCTGGTTTTATCTTTATCTTCACTTTAAGAATCTTCTGTATTAACATGTGAATCCTACTTTATTATTATTTTTTTTTGCTTTGTTGCAAGTCCACCGAAGATGGTAAAACATTTCTTCTTTACATTTACATTACCAACATACATTTGAAATACCTTTATACATTTTTGAAAACTTATCCAGTGTTAAATACCAACAGTGCATCATTTTATAAAAAAATTCTTTCAAGTTATAATTTAATGTAAATTTTAAACCCTTTGTCCACATATTTTCCCATTGTTCAAGCATTATATTATACCCAAAGTTCCTTGCCCATTGGATGATACAATGCTTCGCATGCTTATTCTCCAGATCAATTTTCAATAACAGTTTATAAACCTTAGCAATAATATGTTCATCGTTACCACACAGTACAGTTTCCAATTCATTTTTTGCAAAATCAAATCCATAACTTTTTTTTATCTAAACCAGGGGTGTCCAACTCGCAACGTCACGTGATGTATCGCGACATATCACGACTTTTTTTTCCATTGCCGGCAATGGGGTGGGCGCGGTTTCGGTATGACGCATCCAGCCCGCGGGACGGCAGTTTGACACCCCTGATCTAAACCTTTCTTTCAATTGTAAATATGTAAACCAGTGACAGACATGTCCTTCTGATTTCAACTCTTCTTTGGATTTCAGGATAGGTTCACCTTGATTAAAAAGTATTATTTGACCATAGGCCTACCAGTCTGACCTCACCATCATTTCTTTTCTTAAAAAAAACCTTCCTAGGGTGATACCCAAAGAAGTATCTTCACAGAGAACCTTATCTTGTGTTTATTCCAGACCCTTAGGATGGCACATCTAACAAAGTGGTTGTTGAAATCAACATTTATTTTAGCCTTGTCATACCATAAGTAAGTGTGCCATCCAAATCTTAGTTCATGGCCATCCAGTTCAAGTAACCTCTTATTTTGGAGAGTCACCCACTCTTTAATCCAGACCAAACAACAAGCATCAAAGTACAATTTCAAATCTGGTAAACCCAAATCACCTCTTTAGCATCTTGTAATAAATTGTATCTGATTCTTGGTTTTTCCCCTTGACATATGAACTTAGAAAAATCCATTTGCCATTGTTTAAATGGAGTGTCAGGTATAAATATCAGTAAAATCTGGAATAAAAATAATATATTTGGTAAGACATTGATCTCAATTAGAGAGATTCTATCCAATAAAGATAATTGTAAGGTGTCCCAACTTAATAGGGTTTTTTTTAATATTATTCCACACAGGTACAAAGTTGTTCTGAAACAATTCAGAATTTGTATTTCTCAATGTAACCCCAAGATATTTCACCTTTTTCTCCACCTTGAAGCCCAACTTTTTTCTCAATATTTCATAGTCCTGAAAAGTCATATTCTTGACAAGCATTGTTATTTTCTGTTTATTTATTTTGAAGCCTGCTAAAGCTCCAAAGTCATTTAGTTTCTTCATCAAATATTTTATACCAGCTTTTGGGTCTTGCAAAAAATATGACTAGGTCATCAGCAAATGCTCTCAATTTATAAACTTCCTTTTCAATATTTATGCCTGTTATTTTCTCATCCTGTCTAATATCCCTATTGACCTGTCCCAGTCCACATGCACAAACTCACAGGGAGTTTTAGAGACTTTATTGAGACACCACAGGCCCCTAGTAGTATTCCCCAGGTCTCACTCCCACCAACTGCAAAGTTCCACTGAGTCCAAGTCTGCTCAGCCTAGGCACAGAGTGTCAACTCTACAAACAAGCATGGCTGCAGCCATTATTCCTACTTATTTTCAGTTGCCACATAGAATGGAGGGAGTGGGGTTGCCAGGAGCTTCGCTAGTCAAAATAATTTTTTGACCTGTGGGAACCATGGTCATTGGCTGCTCCCAAGGCTTCAGGCTGGGCATTGCGTAAAAAGCCCGCCAAGAAGATGTATTGGGGAACGTAGTTGCTTGCATAGCTTTAGGGGAGGGATTTTTTTAACTGTGTATTGGGTAATTGTTACATGTATCTCCAGACTTGGTTTCACTTTTTTTTTTTAATATTCAAATTTTTATTAATTTTCAAATAAACAAACAAGTTACAAATATGGTATACATTAATAAACAAGAGAAAAACCTCCATATTAAATATCTATTCAGAGATGCTCAGCAGCCCCCCCGCCTGCGTCCACCCTCTCTTTCACCCTTCCTGCCTACTTCCCTCCTTCTCTCTTCTCCTCCTACCTACACCTCTCTCCTCCTTCCTCCTCTTAACTACCCTACACATCCCAACACCTTCCTTTCCTCATCCTTCGGACGCAGTTTGGGGGCGCCAGCTGAGCATCTCATCTTCTTCAAATACATTGTTTCACTATAACATTTTAATATACCAAAATTTACATTTACATCTTTGATCCCCCCCTCCCCCCCCTAGACTTCCCAGAACCGAATACAGGGTTATGCACATGTCATCCCAAATCTAAATAGAACTACCCAAACATAATACAGTCAAATATTAACATACTTTAACTCTAATAAAAAAATATCAACTTGAGATAAATTTAAAATATATATAATATAATAAATAAAAACAATATAAAATCTACTCAAAAGCTATATAATATTTGTTCACTTCATACTTTCTCTGAATATAATCTATCCATCTTCTCCAAACCAAAATAAATTTTTCTTGAGATTGATCTTTCAAGTATGCGGAAATCTTAGCCATTTCTGCAAAGTACGACACCTTCATTCTCCAATCATCCATAGTAGGTAATGCATTCTTCTTCCAGTTTTGAGCAACCAATAACCTTGCTGCCGTTATACAATGCAACATCAAAGTCATTTCTTTAGAATTTAAATCTTCCATAATACCCAAAAGAAATAATTGCGGTGTAAATTTTATCTTTCTCTTAAAAATCTGTTGGATATTCCACCAAATCTTAATCCAAAAAGCTTTTACATCCCTACATGTCCACCAAATGTGATAATAAGTTGCGTCTAAATTACCACATCTCCAACATTTGGGCTGTAGGTTAGGATACATACAAGACAACTTTTGGGGATCCAAATGCCACCTATAAAACATTTTATAAAAATTTTCCCTTAAATTCTGCGCTTGAGTAAATTTCATATTTCTTACCCAAATTATTTCCCATGTATCCAGCAAAATTGGCTCTTGGATGTTTTGAGCCCATTTAATCATACAATCTTTAACTAATTCTGTTTCAGAATCCAATTCTATTAAAACACTATAAATTCTCCTAATATGAGCTCTACTTTGATCTTTAGTCTGCTTTATCAAATTCACATCCTCCAAAGTTAAACCAAGC